GTGTCCGTTTTGCCGCGCCAAGACTGGACGCGATAAGTCGACCCCAGAAGTTCGATTGCCAGCCGCCGAACTAGCGGGTAAGTGTAGCCAAGGCCTTAGGAAGAGTGTGTGCCTTGCCAAACTCACTCAAATTTTGCAAATGGGACAGTAGCTTTAGAATGGGCTAAGACAACACTCTAGATTCAAACTCTGGGGTGTTCTAAATCTTGTTCGGGATTTTAAAATGTAAGCCTAAGTAAAATATCTTTGTTCAAAATGATAGTCATGTCCACCGGTTTGTCAAATATACAGTGTATAGCACAGTATATAAGAGGCAAAGACGTACTAGAAAAAGATGTGTAAATCCTCTAACAGCAGGACTAGGTACTACAACAGCCACTTCAGGATGTTCATTTGTTAGGTGTGTGACTCTTAAACCTTTGTACTACAGCAGTGCCCACAGGCCGCAATCACATTTGGGTCCCAATTGTGCTAAAGACAAGATATAAGTACACGGAACAACAGCAAGGAAGGTATACAGGAGGGAAGACAAAAATAGCAAGGTAAAAATATCCAGAAAACACCAACAGATTTAAAATTTTATAAGCTAGAATTTATCTTACCCATGTGGTAGTCTTAGTATTATGATCAATGAAGAAGGGCCTGCCATTTGGAGCTATTCTCATCTCCCAACCAGGTGGCAAGAAGCTCTGTGTCACTTTGTGTTGGGGCTTAGGAGAATTATAGGGTGATGGCTGTGGAGACTGTGGATTGGAAAGGGTGTCCTTGACAGCTCTGCGCACAGGCGAGTCCTTGGCAAACTGTGGGAAATGAGCAACATTAAGACTCCACAAATCTCACTTTATATTATATTATGAACAACACTTGGTATCATGAGCTGAACACATTTTCAATGGGGATACAATTTACAGGAACAAGGGGTATCACCATCTCAGTCACTAATTTATTTTAAAATTGGCTGCTCCTTGTTACATAATACGCTTTCATTGCGAAGGTCATGGTGTTTTATCACTTTCCTCTCCCAGAAACAGGGCTATTGTAGCTCAGATCTTAGCTACCTTTTTCTACTGCCTCTTTATAAATAACAAAAACCAATTTTATATAGAAAAATACAGGCACTGCTTTGCTGTTTGCATGGCACTGTACGTGACAAACATTTTAAAGCAAAAAAGTAGATGAATAGAAGGCAGCGTAAGATACTTCAAATGCATTTTTCATCAATTAGGAACTGATTTCACCAACCAAAATGTTTAAAATAGGCATTAAGCAAGTTCCTAAAATAAAGGGAGGTTCAAACTATTCAGACCAGTTTCTAACTACAGATAGTGGATAACATTTTCAAAAGTGTCGCAATTTCATTGACTTTCAATGAGACTACAAAACCTAGCAGCCAGACTTCTAAAGGTATTTAGGCACCTAAAGATGGCACCTAGTAGGATTTTCAAAAGTGCATACGCATTTAACTCCCAGTGAAATCAAGACACTTCTGAAAATGGGACCTGGGCACTTTTGAAAGTTTTACCCATTACCTAATACAGTAACCGCTTAGTTTTAACTTTGTTTATTGCCTTGCTGAGTAACACTGATTATATTTTTAACAATATATTTACAGATCAGCAAATGGAACAAATAAGTAGATTCTGAAGCATGATTTGTAATCAAATATTTTTACATTTACCTCTATTATCTTATGCAATTTCTAATTCAGATACTTATAAATCTTTGATTTCACTATTGAGTATACAAATTAGTTTTTCTACATAATTCATAATACAGGTATGGATTAAAAACTACCATTCTGGTAAGTTTGGTTCCACTTTCAAATTTAAGTATCTATTCTGCAGGAGTCAAGAATATTTTCGCATATTTCAGATGCCACTTCTACAAGGAGATTCACCTGCTCTGGGTCCAGTGGAATTCCATTCCAGCAAAAACATTTATGCAAGTGCATCACTTTGCATGATCAGTGCCTTACTTACTAATCTTACATACTAGTGTACTTCAGTTTATTATCCAGAAGTTCTCAGGCAAGAACAGTGATGTTCAAGGATAGTAAACTGCAAATTATTATTAGAGGAATACATTTACAGAATAAATAATTGACAAATTTTAAGATTTGGTTGCCTAAAATTATGGTCCCAAATATATATATGGCCTTTTTTCAGAAGTGCTGAGTGCCCACAAATCCCACTGAAGTCAATGGGCATTTCAGACCTTTGAAAATCAGGCACTTATTTGTAGTTGTTTTAATATGGATTTAGAACCTGAACTTTAGGCATGTAGACTTGAAAAGTTTAGCCTGATGCCTTTACTTGTATCATAGTCCACAAAAACCATTCAGGAGAACTTTTTCCAATGAAGAAAGCTGACAGCTAAGTCTGTCACTAAATCCAGGAGATATCTTCAAAAGCACTAAAAGGAAATAAAAATATCCTGCTGAAAAGAATGAAATACAAAATCAAAAGCTTTGAGATATCCTTACTTCAACCACGACTTTCCAAACTCAAGCGACACAGCCTTTATTTACAGTTTATTGCACTTGCCTTTCAAAATAATTGTTTCAGCTTTTGAGAATATTTCTAATTTGATGCTTTTGCAGCAAGAAGTTACGGTAATGCATGTACTACAGGATATGCACACACAAATGAAACAAACTAACGATAGCAATGGAGAAAGAATATTCCCCACGCCACGCAAGGAGTGTGAGAGTTGAGTAAGAAGAATTAGGCAGTGTTACTGTACAAAGTGAAGATGCATGTGAAAAAAACTCCAGAAGAAAATATCATCATCAAGAAGCAAAGCTAACAGATCAGGAGAGAAGAATGTGTTGGCTGCAAAATTGGAATGAAAATAAAAGGTCATAAACACAACAGAAAGAATGAGAAGTCAGGACAGAAGTGATCTTTGTCACATGAGACAGGACTTCTTACCTCAAGTGGAGCAGATAAAGTTACTGTGGGTGAGCTGAGGCTACGAGGCCGCCTTATCTGAGGCTCACTTAGATGGTTGTTACTGTTTGCTGCTGACCCAACTGCACCATCTTCTGCAAGCTATTTCAGGGGCAAGAACAAGTTAGCTAAGTGTCAGTTTATCTGCCATTAGGCTGTTTAAAAAAAACAAACCATCAATACTCTGTTAATCCTTTTCTAAATAAGCTTTAAATATATTATTTCAAAGAGCACGTTCAATGGAATTAAAAATGATTCATGCTTTAAATAATGAACTGCTTAGACAAGAACAAACTACTATAAATGGCTTTATTAGTACACAGATTAAAATCCTCATTTTGAATTTGATTCTAAAATATGTCTCTGAATATATTTACTCTCTCTCTCATTTCTCACCACTGCAGTTATAAACTCAATTTATATCTTTATTCTGGTCCTAAGAGATATTTAGCAAAAATAATCTTTAAAACCATAAATCTTCCTGGTTAAATGTAATAACTTTATTCTAAATTGCCTTTGCACTGCATAGACTGTTTCTGCTTAAGAACCTTAAAACAGCTTTTCAAATGGAGCTAGACCCAACACATTTTAAGCATTCTGTTGTATTTTTTAATTTCAACAGCAAACTCCATACCTGCATAATGGGCCGAGTCCAAGTTGTGGTTCGATTGTTATGATTGACATAATATGTACGTCCCTTAGCATCTTTTCTTTCTTCCCAGCCTGAAGGTAAGCCTGGTGTAGTATGTACGTAGGCCACTGATGGCTGTTTATGCAAAAAAATTGTGTATCATTATTTTGTGGTAGCTTGAAAAAAATGAATTATCTTCAGAAGAAGTCTACTTATGCAATTCTTACAATCAAATACAGTGGAAAATTTTGAAATGCATTTCTTCAAATTTCTCTCTAACACAGGCTCTCTTTTTCATATATCTGCCCCAACACCCTCCTCCCTTCCACACGCAGGTCTTCTGGTTCACATTTGCATAGCTACAGGCACTTTGTTCAGAAAACAGCTCAGCTTCCACGTCGTGAAACTAAAGGAGCTACAAAAGAAACAGGAGACTACACATTATGATAGGAACTGCTTTCACTTTTATAAAAAAGTTTTCCCCTTGTTAGAGGTAGTATTTATTCACTAAAGTTGATATACGTGAATCACTGCTAGAGAGGCCACGTAGCCTAAAGGAAAAGTCAAGAACTCCTAAATTCTCACTTGGGCTCTCCCATGGACTGGGTAAGCAGCCTTAGGTCAATCACAACCCCTCTCAGTTTCCACCTCTGTAAAATGGAGGGAATAAATAATCTACCTCATAGGGTGTAGTATAGATTAATTCGTTATTGTTCAGGCAACAGTTTGTAAGTGCTAAGAAAGAATGCAAATAGATTCAGGGTTGGAAGTCCTGCTTAAATTTTCTGAGACTCAGTATCCACCTTAAAGATAAAGCCATGGTCGTGCCCTCCTGCAACTTCTCCCCAAAATACAAAGTGACGTGTGTGTCATCAGTATGGGAAAAGGCATTTCTTCCACTGTCTTCCCCAACTCCCTTACTATAGAGGGTTTATTAGCAAGCAATGGAAAATGAGGACATGGCTCTAAAATGTGTTAACATACAGATAATGGTGGTGCAAGCAAGACCAGACTCGAGAGCTAATCCCAAGAGTGACCAGGAGGAGGCGCCAGACAAGTGGTGAGGGTGCATCCCGTCACAGGTTGATACGTAGCTGGTGTAAACTGGTGTAACTCCAATGAGCATCTGACCCTTAGTAAATTTGTATCGTGTTCACTGGGTTAATTATTTTCAGGAGACCTTTCTGCTGAAAAGACCCTACATTTTGTAGGACAAGATTCTGGCCTCTAATTAATCCAAAGGTATGTGGTGAGAGACCTGAAGAACATGCAGGGAGTCAGCAGTAGCCTTTCAATAAGCCTAGACTATTGACAGAATCTTTAAATTCTGGAGTTTCTTCTTTCTTATGACAAAGTTTTGATTGGCGGGAGAATGATGAAACCAAATGTCTCTATCAGAAGATCCGGAAAGAGAAAGCAAGTGCCTGAGCTTAATTGTCTTGTCAGTTTCTATGTAATGCTTTATTTTAGCATCAGTACCACTAATCCCTTAGAAGTAGGCAGCTTTCTAGCTATAAGAAAGTGTACTAAGGCCCCTTCTTACAGTAATCTGCTTTTTATAATGGCTTTCCTTGTGTGGACTGCAACAATAAATGTGGAATTATCTTATAGATATGAAAGGACAAATTACTTCCCCTCACAGAAGTCAAAATAAAAATACTGATGTTAAGGCAGAGGAGCTGTGCCAGCATTTTATTGGACGTGGAAGCAGAGCAAGGTGGCTAGGGAGAATGCCCGTATTTAAGCAGTTAAACTTATTCTGTTCATAGCCTGTGAGTTTCACATTGAGTGTTGTAGTGTTGATGTTATAACAAGTGCCAGTATCTGGATTTGGAAGAAACGGGGCTGACAGCTGAGCCAGAGAAAGAGTCTATGCTCGTGTCCAAGCTGCACATAGCCATTGTGCCAGTTTTAACACTGTGTGTGTGGGAGGGGGAACCCTGTCTGCTGCATGCAAGGGAAAATTTAAGAGCTCTTTTAAGCCTGTTTGGATAAGAGAAGATGAGACAAGCCTGTTTCTAAAAGAAGCCACATTAAAGCACCAAAACAAAAACATGAACAGAAGAAAGGGATTGTAAAGTCTTGCCACTGCCTGACAACCTGCAGTTGCTGCATATAATTGAAGTAGGCGGAAAAACCCATGCATACGCTCAGTTGCCCTTTATTCTAGAGGAGAGATTCCTCCAATGCTCATTTACGCTGTGCAATGACGCCAGACATTTAAGGCAATTTCCCAGCACACAAGTCAAAGGTCCATATGCACCTTGAAGATGGAACATTTCTTACATCTTTGACATTCTTTTCAGATGTTAAGTAAAAAGGGAAAGAACGGATTTGACAAGCTCATCATGCTCTTGCTCCATATTTAGACAGAAATCAGACTAGAAAGGTCTCATCTTTGCTTAACAGCATAGGGGGTGATGTTGCGATTTCAAGTAAGCCATGGAAAAGGTACACAACTAAAGAAAGGCGCAAGAAAACATGAGGACTAAAGTATTGTAGGGGGGAAGGATTTTCTGCTGGTTCTCAGTGTGCAATTTTCCTTACTTATTGTGTAAAAAGCAGCAGTTTCTTTAACTACTGAGATTCCATTTACATTACTGCCAGTTCTCATTCTGATGCTTTTGCCAATAGCAAGAAATAATGGTGGAGATCAGAGGTGAGTGTTATCATGCGAAAACTGAAGAGAGGAACATGGTGTCCTTCAGCACATCAGGAAGCTAAGGAAGCAAAGGGACAGAGCCTCTGAAATTCTGCACTGAACTACTTTTCATATACTGATACCTCAGTACCAGGGAGTATTTCTTATACCAATGCCTGATCTCAGGTATCACTAAGCAAGGATGTACCAACAGCATGTTTTGTGGGCATATAGGCAACATGCAGGGTCAAGTGCCCCCCCAGATTTCTGCTCAGCCTGTCGGGAGGGAGGGAGGGGAAGGACCTCTGTCCCTCTCCCATTGCGCCTGCCCCCTGGCACATTCAGTCACTGTCCCTGGCAGCTGGGCCCAAGCGGGAGCGGAAGAGGCGAGATTGAGCTTCTTCTTATGTCAGCTGAGGGTGGCTGCTCCAGGTTGCCGCTCTGTGCAGCACAGCAGCTGCCTGTGAGAACCCGGAGCCCTCTGCCGTCATGTTTCCATCTCCCTCGGCCCCCCCCATCCCTGGCAGCCAGGGTTTGGCAGGGAGTGGAGGGGGTGGGGCTGCCACCTCCCCAGGCGGACTCTCTCTCAGGCAGCTGCCGTGCTGCACAGAGGCAGTGACCCAGAGCAGTCACCCTCAGCCAGCGGGAGAAGTGGCTCCTTCTCGCTGCCTCCTCTCCCCACCTGGACCTGGCTGCCAGGGAGAGCAGCCAAGTGAGCCAGAAACCGTGCAGAGCCCCCATCCTCCCCACAAGTAACTCTGGTGGGGCAGGGAGAGCACAGCAGTTCCTGGGCTGGGTGCAGGACTGCTGGGGAAGGTGCCGGGAGCAGGTTCCCTGGTCTGTGCCAGAGGTAGGGGCATTGCTCATGCCACCCCTGCTGAGCTCTGGGAAGACACTGCTGCTGTGAGTCTCCCTGGGCCGGGGCTGGCCCCAGCCATGCCCAAAGGCATGTGCTCCCTGCCCATGTGGCCCCAGCCCCCGAGGAGCTGGCGGGATTGGCTGCCCTGGCCCAGGAAGGTGGGGCTGAAAGTCCCTCCCAGTAGCAATACATGGGGCAGTCAGATGTCCCCCCCTTTACATTGTGCCCCCCCAAGTATCAGGAGGCACATGTTGTTCATGAGTTTTAAATCCTAATAGTTCAAATGAGGCTCAGTTCTGCAAGGTACTGGATACTCCTGTGCGGTACGGAGAAGCTGAGGTCAGTGGGAATTGAGGGCTGTCGGTACTTTTTCAAGATCTACGTATCACGGGCTTGATCTTGCAAAGATATCACAGTCTGGAGAAGAGGCTGAGAGTATATGCTGTCATGTAGTCGATGACAACGGAGAACCATCCAGGAGGTTCTATAAATATTGAGCTCTCATAAAAAGGGAAGAAGTCTGAATATAAGAGAGAGGTAATGTACATGAGTAACATGATGAGTAGCCCTTTGAAGACTTTTTCAAGACAGATCGATAAATAAAGCCAACCAATTTTTTGGAATAAATTAGACTGAAAATTACTGAGCATCTTAGGACAGGTGGAACCTAATTCTTTTTAGGCAGACACAGATATTCTATTTTTGGAAAGTATTCCACCTGATTAAGTCTGACAAAAGACTACCACCTGCACAGAGGAAGGGGTAAGATAATTCTTAACAGGAGGCAAACCAACATGTTAATATTAACTGCTGCTTGCTGTATTTAGTTTAAAAATTCACCACCATCATAAAGTGTTATTCTTATCCTACAAAACTGGTGAATTGTTCCCCCACTGGTTAAAACTGAGGAACATTCAGGAGCTCACATGCATCACTCTTCTCGAAATTCAGAAAATATGTATCCCCTCTGTTCCAATTCAGTCCTCGTTATCTGTATGTGAATCTTACAAAATATACTTTGCATTTTATACCTTGATATAACATTTAATTTCCCTTATATGGTGGAAATGCTTTTTGTGTAATTCTGACTTTATTGAATTATTATCTGTTATGGTATTTTAAAAATCTTCAACTTTCCACATAAAACTGACACAGTAAACAGTATTTCAAAACTAAAATGCCAAACATGATAACTGGAAAACTGTAACGAAGAGGTATTAGTAGGGTGTATCATGGAAGCAGCTTAATGCAGCAGAAATCATGAGGTTTCACTGATAGAAAAACACAGAGTAATTGCTTAAATGAAGGAAATGTAAATGTCTTATAAGAAATATCACTACTGGATTCTTATCTATAGAACACTACAGTATTTATGTTCAATTTAAAGAGAAAAAAAATCCATTACCAGGTATGAAAGTCATTCACAACAATAATGTGGCTGAAAGTATAAGAAAACCCTAGAAACAATTTAAATCATTTATACCTACAGAGGATGGAAGGAGGCAAACAAATTAAGTGAACTGCATGATGCATGGCAGATTACATTTAATTTCATAATCATTGCTATCCCCCTGCTTCAATCACTCTGTGCATAACCACCTTGAAATCTAACAGGTTTAAAGTTTCCCACTTGTTTTTTCTTGCATTACTGACAGAATATTGTATGCAGGCATGAGGGATTTTAATAAAAGTTTATTTTTCCTGTTAAAAATATTGTGGCATCTAAATTTCCAGTTACTTTTGATAAAACACCCACCAAAGAATTTAAGGTTGATGCTCTACAGATTCTGCACATGGGGCATATTCTGCATGAGGCCTGAGGTAAGGCTACATAGCTATACAGATACCTGTGTGTTCAGTAACATCACAGACCTCTCAGGCCTGATTCACCATCATGATTACACTGCAATCTAACAGCCTCTTTTTTGTGTAGCCTTATAAACAGCAACATATTAGTCAGTAGCTCTTTCATCTGCTCTACCCTCTGATCAGATTCCCTATCAGTTCCAGAACTCTTCTTTGAACTATTACAGTAGCCAGTGCTAAGAGAATTCTCTCATTTAAGGGCACATGCTTCATGTGGTTGAGCTGAAAAATGTTGTTTTAAGTCCGTTAGTGAATATTGCCAACAGCAGGTTTGATTTACAGGGAGCTATGAGGACAGAGTCACAAAGGAAAGAGTCACTAGAGGTGGAACCATTAAAGTTCACATGGCAACATGTCTTTTCCTTTTTATTGTCTCCTCACTCCTTATAAACTGAATCCAGTTACTGGCAGCATTCCTTTGTAATATGAACTTAGCTTTGCAAACCAAAATAGAGACTCAGAGGCAATTCATTTAAAACACATTAAATTAGAACTTTCAGTTCTCTTTACCAGTGCTTTATGCATTCTCAGCGGTAAACTGAATTTTCTTTACTGGTTTCCTTTCATAAGATAAATCAGAGATGGGAAACACTTATTCAAGCTATCTTGATTATCCTCCTGCCATTTGTGATAACTAGTGCTTTGTCCAGTCTAGTTTTACCGTAAAACATTTCAAGGGAAAGTATTCAGTTTCCTCTGAAGCTTTCAATAAAGCTCTTAAAAGCAATCCAATTAAAAAACATTATGTATTTACACACACACAAATATACATCAACACACATTCAAAGAAGCACCCACTTTACATAATCATGTATCAAATTTTGCTCATCTTCTGTAATTAACTTAAGTGAAAAAGAAGGCCCCCGGCAATACAATAGACAGATCTCGTATCATTACACTGTACATTAATATTTTGTGCATTAATTTCTACGTGCTATCTAAACACTGAAGGTCTACATTGGTATGGTAAATGTCAAATCAATATGAATGTAAAAATTCAACAAGAATTTCCTTGTACTATGCACCAATATATTTAGCTATCACAGCAACACTGTATGCCTATTTTGGAATACAGTGGCGTTACTGAGCAGGCATGCATAGAGTACCTCTAATCTGAATTCAGTTTTTATTAGAGGAATATAAAATTGTACAAAACGTATGTGTAATTAATGGAACTATCTGCCAACATTACATTAGAAATCAATACAGAACATTTTGCCTGCTTCATGTAGCTATTAAACAGTTTTTCCACAGATATCAAAGGCATTTCCATGTTTATGAAAGGTATTGACACTTAATTCAAGGTACATTTCCTTAAAGTTCAATAAAGAACCTATACAGTGCCTAACACAATGGTGTCTTGATCCCTGAATTAGGGCCTCATGCTACTTCCACAACAACAAAAAATAAAATAAAATAAAATGGTTTTCATTGGTGCACATAAATATATTTAGCTTTTATAAATATATATTATTGGACAATCCACTTGCTTTAGATTCACATTTAATCAGATTGTAAGGCTTGGGCTTGGTCTACACTACCCCCCTAATTCGAACTAAGGTACGCAACTTCAGCTACGTGAATAACGTAGCTGAAGTCGAAGTACCTTAGTTCGAACTTACCTTGGTCCACACTCGGCAGGCAGGCTCCCCCGTCGACTCCGCGGTACTCCTCTCACCGAGCTGGAGTACCGCAGTCGACGGCGAGCACTTCCGGGTTCGACTTATCGCGTCCAGACTAGACGCGATAAGTCGAACCCAGAAGTTCGATTTCCAGCCGTCGAACTAGCGGGTAAGTGTAGCCAAGGCCTAAGTGTATGGGATAGCTTCACAAACGACAATGTATTATGAAAAATGGTTTCAGGATATAAAACTTCCAATTTAAACATTGTAGAATATTTTCTTGAACCATTCAGAGTCAAATATCCAGCACTGGGCTAGTTAATGACAACAGGAAAGTAAAACTTGGTAGTAAACAAAGACCATATACTAACTACACTGAGAATTACAGGGTAAACCCCTCTGCCTGCCTGGTTCTCAAAGCAGGATCCAGGCCTAAGAATAAAACTGAATTAGTCTAGTGTTAAGTCAGTGCAAATGGGAAGTGCCATATTTAAAGGGTCTGTTTGTATAATCTACATTGCAATTAGTATTGCATTTAAAAATGAAGTGCTACATCTTTCAATTTTTGAGCACTAGTCAATGATATTTACTGAGTGTCATTCTGTTTAAAAATCAATTGCATTATAACCATATATTTACTGTATGCTAATATTACTGTGATATTATCGTATACTTGAAATAATTTTTTCAAGTGTAAAAGGTGAAAAACAAATGTTAAAATTTAGCTATGGTTTCTGAAGAGTTTAGACCAATACACTGCTGCTGTGTGAAAAAATGTCCAGTGTCATAAAAGATGCTAAACCCAACCCATATTTAATTTACAGAAAGTGTTTGATAAAGAGTATTATTACCGTTGGTTCTTCACCACCTGTGACAGTTGAAGAACGAGCTCTCCTAGATGGACCACTCTGCTGTTAAATGATAATTAATGTTACAGATAAGTATGTTTAGTGATGAAGGTAATAGATTATGCTCACATCTTCAGGAATCAGGAATCATAGCCATTCTCTCATACTTTGTAATGGAAAGCAATTAGACTGAAGTTATGTTAAATAAAAGACAGCAGCAAGGAAAATGAAGCCATCAATCACTGATAACCCAGATGAACGTATCACTTATAAATTCAAAGACTAAGGCACTCGTCTAATAGCTGTGGTGCAGGGCTCTCTATATACACTAGTGCTATAATGTAAGGTGTTTAAATAATTACTTTTTCCAAACAAAAACAATTTTACATCTTCAGCTCTACACGCATAAAGCGCAGACATTTAGAAATGAAGATGCAATTTTCTGGCCAGCAGTGAGTGCATAGCCCTGTGAAAAGTCAGAATCATAATAATAATAAGAGAAATTGGAGTTCCAAGTTTTCTGTAAGGAGCAATATGTTCCGGGACAGACAGCTTAATAAGAAATAAAGTAAGGGTTTAGTTGCTAGAAGAAAAATGACTGTTAGTTCAGTAGAGATTGATGATTGGTTAGATCAAGTATGTCCCAGTTTTAAAGGAATGCTTTTATACTGCTGTTTTGAGCACCTAATTTCATTTAGTAAACATTTTAAAACAATAAACTGAAGGAAGAGTCATAACAGAGCCTAACCTTATACACCAGTTAAAACAACCCACAAACCACAAATGACAGGAGTGAATCAAAAATATTGAAAAAGTAGAAGCTCGCGAGTACAGATTCCAGCACAAGCCAATCACTTATAGTAGAGAGAAGAGACAGTTTAAGTATGCTTTTGCTGAGAGCCATAATATTTTTAATGCAGGAGGGTAAGTAAGTAGCTGGGTAGTACTTTACATACATTTCCATTGAACACTCACAGAAACATCTATTACTGCAAAGCCACCATTTCATCATGACATATATAGAATCATTAGATACTCTCCAGCTTTCTGGTGAATTAATAAAAATAGGAAAAAAATGTCAACTGTTTAATTACAAATTGATATAAAAAAATTAGCCAATTTAAAATTTAAAATGGCAGAATCACACCAATTTAACAATAAAAAAATGACAACGTAAGCCTTCAATTATTCATATTTTGTTATTTACTGAAGAAGCAAGTTCTAATGATCCATTTCATTCGTATGTCCATATTTACAGTTCCGGTTAAAAAAAAAGGGGGAAAAGATTTCTGCAGAAAGTTCTACAGGAAATATTGTTATTTTTTCATTGCAATGTCATCCGTTATGAAATATTCTGGCCAGCCATAGTCAAATGCTGATCTACTTCAATTTTATTATAGGTCATTTTATCCGTGTCACCACCACTTTGCCCAATTCTATGGAAAAAAATGTAGAGCTTGGAGGACATCAGCAGTAAAGTGCTACATAAATATAGAGTAAAAGAGAACCCAAAGCTACCGTTCCTGTTTAAGAACCATCTTGGGATGTGGATCCTTTTCCTGTTTAAAGGGATTCAGTTAATTTCTTAGCTACTATATTAGAAAAACTTGACTTGTTAACTTATATCATATTGGTCAGAAAATTATTGTGACTGTTAGATTTTGGTTTTACATGGCCCTTCATAAAGGGGATTGTTAAAGCTGGGTGAAATACTAGTCAATTTCTTTTTATTTAAATTGGCAACTGACTTGCAACATGCTGCAAATTTTTTCACATTTGCAAAAAGTGTTGATTTCCTCACCGCTCCCACCACCTCTATGGGTGTGCGCCTATTTCTTTTTTGTGTTACGTTTCTTCCCAGGCCAGAAAAGGTTATGGTAACACTTCTGTGCAAATTTTGAATGGCTTTAAATAATACTGACACACAAAAACAAAAACCCATGCACAAAACAGTCCATGAATTTTCAAGTATAACAACCGCTATTCTCCCCCTCCAAAAAAACAAAAAACAAAAAAGCGACCCTCTGCCCACCTCTCAAATTTAATAAAAAACGTCACCAATTTTGCCCAATTCTAATTATATAGCTACCTGTAAGCCCAGGCATAAGTCTATTTCAAAATGTGTGCATTTGTTTTTCAAAAAAAATAGCACTGGGCCAAATTCCCTCTGCGACACGCAACTCCAGATTGCAGAGATATAAACGAGGACAGAACTAGATGCATGGGCTCAAATCCTGGCCCCAATAAAGTCAATGGTAAAACTTTGATCGACTTCAGTGAGGCCACGATTTCGTCCACTGTCTTCAATCATCTTGAGTTAATCTTTTTGTAAAACAAGTATAACCGTATTACTTTGTTGACCTATGCAACATGATCTTAATTTGGAATCAGTTACCGATTGGTACAGTCATATTCCTACCACCTATGTATAAATATTCTGAAGCCAATGCAACAGGAAAAGGTTCCACTCAGAACCAAAGAATATTTAAAACAAAGCATAGAAGAAATAAAAATGAGCTTTGGTTTACCAGTGATAAGTGAGACTGTTCAGCAACTGCATCTGTTACACTGCAAGATCTCAATCTTGAAGAAGGATCTCTCTGCTGAAAGAAAGGAGAAACTTCTAAATTGTAATGCATTAAACACATGTGGAAATTCATTTCTATTTTTCAATATTGCTCTCGGAGTTCAAAATAAACCAGGCTTGCCCTGCAATCTCCATCTCCTTTATATTTCTACATAATCTTGTGTCACAATCAAAAACCATTCTCTTAAATTCTCAGCATTTCACTCTTGGCTTGTTTTGGACTAACCGGGAACAGGAAGAAGTGGGCCACACATCTCATCCTATTATTTAACAGTCAAGACATGGGTGTCTTACGGACAGACTTCAAGGAAGGAGGGCTGGCTAGCTGGCAACTTCTCCGGGAAAATACACAGCAGATTAAACAGTCCTGTAACCGGCAGCAAGTTGGGAAGGCTGACCCCAAATGAAATGCTGAGTGAAAGTCCCATGGTGCTTCTGACAGTCTGTTTCTATGCAGCTTCAGAGGAGAGACCTCAGGGAATATAGGATGGGACTGGGCAGTACAAAGAAAAATACAAACCTTTGCTTGACTCTCTGGGGCTCCAATGCAGCCCCTCACTAACCTATAGGATGGAATTCACTCCACGTGAAGAGTCTACACAAGATTCCCTGCGCCAAATAAACACTGCGTTTGTCACCCACATAAGGGCAGGGAAGGGTGCTGCTCCCACACAGGAGTGTGTAAGTGGATCCAATGCCCCCATTACCCTGTGCATTGAGGGCGGAAAGCTCTATTCCAGAACATATGCTGGAATAGCAGCTATGGTGGGTCTTTGCTGGAACCCAATGCCCTGGTCATGGATTGGTAGGATGAATGCATTATCAAACATACTCCCAAGAATCAATTCCTACCTTAAAATAGTAAGAACAACTGCAGGTGTAAAATGTGAATTCATTGTATACTGACTGCGACTGTGTCCACACTGCAATGGAAGTGATGATTTGCCACCTGAATAGACATATCTGGGCTAGCTTTAATCCAGCTAGCATGCTAGAAATAGCAGAGAGTATGTACCCAGGGTCCTGGGTGAGCTTGATCAGCCTATATTGAAGCCTGTGCCAATGCCTTTTTACTGCTATTTTTAGCATAGTAGCTAGATAAAAGCAAGCATGGGCATGTCTACCCGGGCTGCAAGTCACATCTTCCACTGCTGTGCAGACACAAGTCCATGATGAAAGTGCAGTTAATAGTAATATGTAATTGATATCAACTCAGAAATTTAACACAGAAGTTGACCAATTCATTAGGAGGATTAGAATAGATATTACTCTTAGCCTTCTGTCATTCTGTATAGGTATTTATATTGTATCCATCACAACAGTATCGGTAGTCATAATAAACATTACAGGTGGTATAATAAAGAGACATTTAATAACTATTAAGCATGTGCTCTGGTTATCTGTGTGTGCTGCTCTCCCTCTTTTTTAAAAATCAGGTTTTCCTATGTTTTTTATCAGCTGCTACTGGATTTGGTGGAAACAGAGACACTCTTATCTACAGACAGGTACCTACCACTTGAGCTTTGCACGGCAGTGCAAGCTTCTTCCTGCCTTAAAGAATTGGTTCCTTTATTAAGACATGTGTATTCCCTATCAAAAAAACAGCCTTGCAGCACACGGCACTATCATAGTGGGTAAAAGACTGACGGGGAACAGAGTATGAACTCACTGAAGACCAAGATCACCACCACAAAGTTCTTAATGGTGGTCAAAGGGTAAGAGCATCTGTGATCTTAGAAGTCCTCCTCCCACAGGATTTCTGAACCACAAATGAAAGGAAGCCTCAAGAATGCAATACGTAGCATGCCCAGCTCTTATGCTGGGGGAAATCTCTGTCTGTCTCTTATCTATATTTTTTGAAGATAAAAATCTGAGTTTACTAGACTGAGAGTCAGATGGATTATCCAGCTTTCCAGGTGAATCCGAAGATTACTGACTTCATTAAAAAAAACTATTTTGACAATCATAGCAATTAAATGTCTCTTTACGTAATGCTAGACACTGGTTCCCATTTCTGCAAAGGGAACTAAGGCTTTAACAAAAACACCCAATACCATAAGACTCATGATTAAGGCCCCACTTAATTTGCAATATTGAGGAAATTGCAGCTCCTGCGATATTAGACTTCCACCGCAATTTTGATTTTAATTAGCTTACTTTGGACACTATTTTACAAACAATTTTGCATACGTTTTATAAATTAATGGAGATATCCTATCTCCTAGAACTGGAAGGGACCTTGAAATGTCATTGAGTCCAGCCCCCTGCCTTCACTAGTAGGACCAAGTACTGATTTTGCCCCAGATCCCTAGGTGGCCCCCTCAAGGATTGAACTCACAACCCTGGGTTTAGCAGGCCAATGGTCAAACCACTGAGCTATCCCTCCCCCTTTGCAACAAACACTTGTTTCCCTATTAGTATAGTAGAACCCCATTTATCCAAGCTGATAGCAGCTAGAGCTTGGGCTGTCAGCCATGCGCATTATTGACTAATATAGTTGCAGCAAAATGTCAGATATCAAAAAAATTAGCAGGCATAACATATTTGAGTGTTTATATTGTTCCAGCATTTTTTTCTTAATCAAATAGGACTCTCTAGCTTTTTCAAATAACCACAATTAACAAAAGATCCATTATTACTTTTCCATGATTTTCCGTGTCTTGCTCACAACTCAGACAAAATTATTTGACAACCATCCCGCAACTGAAATAGGGTCTTACTCATGAGATAACTGCGAGAATTGTCAACACTAAGTGTGACACAAAGTAATACTAGTAAATGACTGAATTGTATTTCCTGGCTCCAGTCACGTGACATAGGTCAGGATTACAAAAAACTGCACCATATGGAGATCTAACAGTTCTAGACACTTAAAGAATTACCCTTTGCATGCATGGACCTCAACACAAGGATTTGGGCTACAGTGCAGCAGTGAGAGTGAGGGTCCAAAGGTTGCACATTCCCATCCCCTTTTTATTTAAAATGGGTCTCATTTTAGAGCTATTGTGAGCTACTGTGAGGGGGGAAGGGACTAGTTTATTGATGACCCCCAAAGAATCACCCTGCTTGATCTTTAAAAATACTAGTGCTGGTCCCAGTCAATTTTTTACATGACACGTAAGCCTGAACAGGTGGCTTTCCCTTTCCCATGGAAATTGGCTTTATAAACAAACTGACTCAAAATGAAACACAAATTACGGCCCTAAGCCTTCTCAGATTTGGCAGCAACTAGGGTTCCTTCTCAAAGACTGTTCTTCCCAGATCCCCTCTCTCTGTTCAGACAGCCACTCCAATCTCCCTTATACCTAGAGTTGGGTTAAAGGTTCACCTGCAACAACGGACCAGGGCTCAGCAACACCTGGCAGGCTCAACACCTGCTAACAAGGTAGGTTCTTAGGATAACACTGCCTCCCTGTTAAAAAACACATTCACTTTATAATATCCCCATATAGCGTACTAGCGTCACACACTAGCATCTGGACTTTAGATTCAAGGCATTAGGCCTAGTGTCAATAATTTTTCTATTACTCATGAGAATTCCATAAGATGGAAAGAAAATCAATCAGCTTCAAAACAACCTCTTACTTGGAACCCTATTCTCTCTTTCTAGCATCAGCAATGCTCCCTCTTAACTGAATTAGTGCAAATAAGAAGCCTATTAATTTAGCTGACAAACACTGTTTGTGTGTCAGCTGCTTTCTGGATACCTTATTGCATTGCTTTTCTATATCGTCTGAATGAGATTGCAGGTTCCATGCATAGAAATAGATCTTGGGTATTTTTAGACTGTTTATTTGCACAATTCATATCTCAGACATTTTATGCAGAGGACAACTGGCAAACAATATATGAATAATGGAATAACTGAACTACAGATATACAAACTATCTGTCCTGTTTAAAGAATGATTCAGACTGACACTCCCAGGTGCTATGGGAATACAAATAAATAACAACATAAAGAAAGTTAATAAGGTGCATCTCAGAACCTCCAGTCTTTCCCCAAAAGATACAATTTTTGATCTAACAAGTTTGAATTAAGAGTACACACAAAGTGAAAATCAGTTTTTTAAAAAGAAAATCTCATTTTGCTGCCACATACACTATGTGTGGAACAAGAATTATTATTGATGTACCTTAATTTAGACAATTTTTTCAGTCAAAGCTATTGGTTCCATGTGGCTAGTCTCCTGTCCCCAGCATAGAGTCCCAATGAAATCAGTCGGTATCCACAAAGGTACCAGGCCCTACCATGTGGTTCTCACTGCAGGATTGGGGTTACAGAGTCTGCTAAACTAGCCCGGAGCTGACATTCAAATCATCATAAGACATCTATTCAAATGGACTCTGAGTAGAATTTACATCTACTTAATTTTGTAAAGTAACACTTAATCAGAACGTATCTCAATTTAGGTTTCTTATCTCCTGAATGATAATAAGATGTCCTAGGAGACGACAATATATTCAGTTTCCTATGTTCGATTCAATATTTACCATTGTTTATTTTATCTGAGAGACATGAAACATTCCCACACTTGCAATTATATTATTCGTCCACCATGATATGATCATGATCATCAATTTGCCTTGATTATAAGATACTACAAATACAAATTATAACTTTTCATCTTACTAAGGAGGGCGAACATATACAAATCTTACAAAACCCTGAAATTTCATATTTTACCACAACTAAACAGCTCCAATTATATCTTATTTAAGCCTTTTAATATTTGATCCAGTTCAAATTGTGAGGTCTTTTCCAAGTTCCAATTTAAGAGAATAGCACTTGTTTTAAAATATATTACAAACATACACTGAAGCAATATCTTTTATTTGTAAGATGACCATTACTGTAACAGTGCTCTAAAGCTAAGATAATTTCCACTAGTAGGATTTAAAAAAAAATTCATCTCAGTGAAACAAATTACAAAATCCATAATAAGTGTAATATTTTAATAAAAAATGCCTTAAAATTTAACCAAAATAGATTAAGCTTTCCTTCATACGAGTGAAACTTGGTAAGTCTGTTTAAGTAACATTAGTATTGTTTGTTATTTTTAGTACTATGTTGAATGGTGACATTCTGACCATATCAAGCTGTACAATCAAATTCAAAGGGACACTTTCAGTTGAAATTTTGCATCTGCTAAAACCGAAGATCAAGAGATGTGTTTCCACATTTGTTTTTAAAATTCTAATACACACACCCACACAAAACCACCACACACTGACATCCAAATAAACATTCCACAGTGGTGTGCAATTCATCTCAACGTTGCAATATTTTGCCAGTACTTGACAAGCAGACATCAAAACTGACAAGTCTATTTCTAACTGAACTGCAAAAAGCGAACAGTAAAAAGTAAATAGGATTTTAAAATATTCTGTTTTAATAATCAAAAGGTGATATTTAAAAAAAAAAAACATACTATAAGTCAGATTTGTTTTTAAAGACACTAGATAAAATTCTGGCTCCAATGAGGTCAATGGCAAAACTTGCATTAACTTCAGTGGAAACAGGATTTTATCCACGGTCTACAACTGTTTAGAAGATACATGCATATTTAATAATAATTCTTGCTCTTGTTCAGCCTCAAATATGAAATTATGGGACAAGATTGAGGTTATTAAAACAAGAATCCCAGCCCTCAAGTGTAAAATAATGCTTGATTCATAATACCTTCCAACTACTACCTACACAGATGGATGATTCAGACCATATCAGACTTAAAGTAACCAAGGTTAGTTCAGTAATATATATGGTGAGCGCACTGCTTACAATCAAAGAACCAAATTGTTCCCCATTGGAATCAGGAGTGACCTGAAGTCTTCTGTTCAATTCATCAGACAGCTCCTGAGGACTGGTCCGAGAGACTGGAGAAGCCGGGGGTGGTGGCAGTGACAGGCTTAAGGAATCTCCACTTAGACTCGCTTCCTCTGAAATGGTTTCCCAGGGCTGACAAAAGGAAAAAGATTATGGCAAGTTAGACACGTGAATTTGCCCAGCTTTGGAAAAAGCACCTCATTCACTTTCATTCCACCTAATTATCACCAGAATTTGGCTCAGGCAGCTACCTCAAAAATTGTGTGAAAACATTGCTGTACGTATTAACTAACTTACAATTAAAAGGAATCTGTTTGGAGGAATTTAACTTAGTTATAGGGACTCTTGTAACACCATAGAACAGTTTCTTATTGCCGAGGAAATGATTTCAAGACCTGTACGTACTTCAGATGCATCTCCACTCTCCGAAGGCTCAGGCTCCAAATCCTCACTAATGTGTCTCCGAGAACGAAACCGTCTATGGGCTGCCTCTTGGTTTATCTGTCTGATGTTGTTGTCAGAATCAGATGCAACGTCACTGGACATTGTGGAAACGAGCAAGGATAGAGGGGAGAACAGCAAAACTATTAATCCTAAATTAACACATTGTAATTCAAGATGTTCTGTCCATCTACAAGTAATTAAAAAGGCACAATAAGATTAATTCTTATATCATAACTCTGTCAAAATATATTCAAACAGATCAACCCATAGTCCAAAGCAAATAAAACCTGAAGTCAATCACAAAACTTCTGTTTAAATTAAAACAGAGAACAACAGATTTTAGTACTCATTGCAGCTATTCTGACAACTTTTGATACTGAGATCCTTTATATATAAAACCGGTAGAGCAGCTCACACTTCCATACACGACCCCACCATTGTGGGTGCTCGTGATCAACCAACTAGTCCTGCCCATGCTCTGGCACCAGTTCAACACCAAGCACCCACCTCCTAGGAACTATGGCCAGCCTCCAAAAGACAATCCTCGAGTTCTTCTGGCTGGCACTGTACTGGCTCCCTGCAGGTGTCCTGAGCCCCCTCCTGGAGGGGTGGACAGGTACATGCCATCTGCCTTCAGCCCTGCAGAGATTATTTTGTGGTGCAGGTAGTCTGGTATAGAACATGCTAGTGCACACCTTCCTCCACCACCTCTCAGGGCTCCAATACCACGACCTCCCCAGGACCTGGAAGCTGTTTTCAGCAACCAGATCTATAGGGCCACCAGAATTGGAGTCCTTCTGGACTATGATTGGAGGGACTGGGTGGACCCTGTGGCGCTCGGCTAGCTCATGGGGCTGCTCACCCTGCATATCACCCATCAGGTGCTGCAGGAGACGATGGCAGCCTTGACCACCCACTTCTGTGGCTTATAACAAGCGAGTCCTGCAGGTCAGTGTTCCCTGCTCACCCCTCACTCCTGGCCTTCTGGAGTTTTTCATCACCCGCTGCCCCAGGCATCCCCAGCATACAACTTGAGCAGGCTCAATGCCATCTATCCAGTCCGTCTCCGAACTGTGTGCCAAGAACATTCACTTCCTTGCCTTTGTGTCCTGCCCCAACACTAAGTGGTGGGACCTGCTACCACTTACTGTGGGCTAGTCTGAACTCCACTCTGGTTCCATGGCCTGCTGGGAATATTAGCAGGCAGCTCCTCTATGGAGCCATGAGTGTGCATCTGGTACAGTTCAGAGAATCCTGACACCTGTTCTTTTTGCAACAAAAGGGAGACCCTGGTGCACATCTACATGCCAGGCTGCAGCCCCTCTTCTGGGTCCTCCAGAACCTCTTATAGTGGTTCTGGTTGCACTTTCCCCCACACTTCCTCATTCAGGGACACCCCATTGGTGGCCCCACAAAGTCATAAAGCCTTCTGGTGTGCTCTGCAACTGCAGGACCTATTTCCAGTCCCTTGTCCGGTCATGTATCTGGGAAGAATTCCCTGGGTGGTGAACACTGACTCCTTAGAGGATCAGAGGTGCTGCCTGGGGTTCTCTGCTCAGCATCCCCTTCTGGTTCCTTCATTTTTAACTTTGGACCTCACTCCCATTCCTGTTTTTTTTCATTTGTAGCTCCAAGAATTCTTTTGTGGCCTGGGTTCAATGGTTCTGCCCCATTGGTTGAGGGAATGGGCCTTTAGCTCTGCCTGTCCCATTAGCTGCAATAGGTTCCCCACCACTGCACATCATTTCCTGAGCTAGGAGGAACCATCACAAGAGCTAAGATGCTACTTCCATCTCTATGCTTAAGTCAATCCTGGTTCTCTCTGATGAGGTTGCCAACAAAGGATGGTAGTTGTTACTGAGAGATTTTGTGAGATGGAAGCCTCTTCAGAAAGAACTGGCCTCAGACCACTAACTCATTTCACATAGATAAAGGACTGAATGTGTTATTTCAGGAAGTTCAAGGAGCCACAATCAATACTTTGGGGTAGATTTCCTGCTTTGCTCTGCCCCCTTTGCACAAAGTAAAAATTAAGTAATTTAATCACATGGTGCTCCAGCAATTTCTCCCCACCCCCAACATGCTCCCTGCACCAGGGACTGTGGAGAGGGGGACAAAGGAAACATATTTTGGCTCTGTGCCTGCTAGAGATTCCCTCCTGGGGAATCACCAACGAGAAATGCAAGTGGTTGGGAGTGAAAGCCACCTATAATTCCCCTTTTGGGGATCCCCAAGCAGGCACAGGCTCACAACAGCCAGTTCCTACACCTCTCTCCCCTTCAGGCCTGATGCATGGAGCATGTTAGGAGTAATGGGGAGTTGCACTTATGACCTGAGGCTTGAAACTGTAGCCTTCCAAGGCGATCGTGTTAAGAAAAGAAGTTTCTTCATAACCATCACTTTCAATAGCTACAATTTACAGCCTCAAGGGGCACAAGTGATTTATAGGCCACACACCACAAATCCAGACCCTAGAACATTCATCACCACATTTCCTCATTACCTGAATAGGCTACATTTGGAACACTGACCTGTGAGTGAGATGATACACAGCCTACTAGCAATCACATGAGCCACTAGGTTTCCTACTTCTGTTTCATAAATTCAAGAGCTTAAGGCCAGAAGGGACTGTTATAAAGCACAGCTTCCAGAAAGGCTTCCAGTCTTGATGTGAAGCTATCAAAAGATGAAGAATCTACCACTTCCCTTGGTAGTTTGTTGCACTGATTAATCACCCATTATAAAAATTTGTGCCTAAATTTCTAATTTAAATTTGTCTTCCTTCCTTCCGCTACTAGCCCTTCATTCTTATTATTTGCCTTTCTCCGCTAGATTAAAGAGCATTGTAGGACCCAGTATTTTCTCCCCATGAAGGCCCTTATATACTGCAATCAGCCAATCAAATCAATCTTTTTGATCAGCTAAACAAATTGGGCTCTTTAAGTCTCTCACTCTCAGGCATTTTCTCCAGCCCTCCAATCCTTTTTATGGCTCTTTTCTGTATTCTCTCCATTTTTCAATGTCCTTTTTAAAACATGCACACCAGAACTGGCATCAGCACTGGTCTCATCAATGAAGCACACAAAGGTAAAATCACCTCCCTACTTCTAATTCCCCTACTTGTACATCCCAGGATCACATTAGCCCTTTTTGCCATAGCATCACACGGGGAGCTTCTGATCAGTTGTTT